AGCAAGAACCTAAGACTCTCTGGTGGAAGGAAGGAAAGCAAAATAAGATCACAGTTCTCTCTCAGGCCCAGGAGAATGAGGGAAAGGGGTGTGGGGTCAGATTTGCAAGCCCTGGCCTTTCTCTTGGCTAAACCTGGGGAGGTCAGGGGAAAGGAGACCTGGCCATGGGCGCTCTGGCCTCTCGCCCCCTGCTGCACCCTCTCACCTCCCAGGGAACACTGGGCAGAGCGGGGTTCTCGGGTTCGATTTTGCCGAACATGATTGCCACTTGGTGTGAGCCCCTGAAGCAGCCGAGTCAGGCTGGGGAGTGGCTGGAGGGCTCACCAGAGCTGGCAGGTGGTTCAGAGGGAACCGACCAGCACCTGCCGGCAGGAAAACTTCTGAGTGATTCTCAAGTCAGCAGTCAAATGGCAAGAGCCCCGACTAAGAGTGCAAGAGATGCACTCTTAGGACACTGCCTGGACACCAGACAAGGCCAGGATGCTTTAAAGGCCACACCCTCCCGTTGTGGACCCAGAGTCCATACCCGGGAGGGAGGGAGGGAGGCCTGAGACACTGAGGGCTGTTCTAGCCTGCTGAGGACTGCTCATTTCTGCTCCCACTGACCTCGGCCAGGTCTCTGCCCCGAGGCCAGAACACCTTCTGGAAGAAGAGCTGCACTTTCTCTGCGTGTCTGGGCCGGGAGTCAACCTGCCGCTTCACTTCAGCTGTGGCACTAAGACTCTGGTTTCCACATCTGATGATGAGCACCAGATTTCTCTAGGGAAACTTTTAAAACTGTATGTTCTAAGCATCACCTTTGGAGACCCTTAGTTGGGTGGATGGGAGCCCCAAATTTTTCTTTTATGCTTCCAAATACAAAAATGCAGATTAAAAAAACAACAACAACAAGAACAAGAAGATACAATGACTGTTGATAATGGTGTTGCTGGGGGGCTATCAATGGAGATGCTCTTTTGAGGGAAGAAATTCGGCACCCTCGTTAAAATCCTAACATACGCTCCCCTCAACAGAAAAATGCCCTTCCTGAGAGGTCATCCCATGCAAGTAAACAACAGTAGATACCCCAGGATATGCATCACAGCATTATTTACAACAGAAAATAAAACAACTGAAAACAACCTAAACAACCATTGGAGGGGCTGATTAATGAAATAGAGTTCACTGGCCTGGGTTGTGGCTCAATGGTTAAGTGTTTGCCTAACATGTGCAAGGTCTGGGGTTCGATCCTCAGCACCACATAAAAATAAATAAAATAAAGGTATTGTGTCCAGCTACAAGTAAGAAATAAATTTTTTAAAAAAAAGAAATATGGTTCACCCTTCAATTGAACATTGCTAGCATTGCTCAAGGAACACATGCCCAAATGCAGAAAGATACCCATAAACACTGCTAAATTTTTAAAAAGAATTCTTTGAACCAATATATATGATGAGTCGATTTACATTTTTGTATATCTATTTATATATGTATATATATTTATATATGCATGATAAATGTGTGCAAAAAACACACTTTAAGCTATTATTTGTAATGCTTGTGGGGAATAGGATTCCAAAGAAAAAAGAAAAACTGCACTTTCACCTCTTATTTTCTCATTTTTACCTTATGTATTTCTACACTATGTTATTATATGCTTTTTAAATAGATGCTGATTATCTTTTATTTTCTATAACTTTTATCAGAAAGAACTCAGTGCTCCCGGTGTTCCTGGTGCTCCACAGGCCTGGGAACCCCGGGAGGACGTCAGTGGACTCCTGACTACTCAGCGTTCCAGCTGCAGGACCTGAGAGCAGCCCAGCACACTGGGGAGGAAGAACTGGCAGGACAGGCGCGTCCTAGAACCCCAGGGACAGTGCGCTCAGGTTGGTCCCTCAGACCTGCTTCTGGAGCAGAGCTGGCAGTCCTGGCGCATGCACCGCACCCTCCTGCCGGTCCAGCTCTGTACAGTACCTCCGGGACCCAAGACAAAGGCCCTGAGTTCCACAGAGCTTGGGGTTTGGTAGCACACACGGTCTTCTTAGCACCAGGAGAGGTGTGTTGGTGGTCCTTGGATTCAAGGGTCCCCAAGGCCCATGTGGCGAGGCTTGGCCCCTGCATGGCCCTGTTGGGAGCCCCTCGGAGGTGGGCCTAGTGGGAGGGCTGCAGGCCACTTGGACCTGCCCTTGAGAGTGCGGTACCCTGACCCCCCCCACACTCATTCTTGCTCCATGAATGGTTTTGTGCTGCCACCAACCCCTGCCACGTGCTGCCAGACCCACAGAAAAGAGGGCCACTCCCTCATGGGTGGCACTCCACCACTGCGAGCCGAAATCAACCTTTCCTCTTCACTTCCCCTTGCCTTTCCCCTTGGTCGTTTGCCACAGTGACAGAAAGGTGACCAACACACAGGAGGGACAGGAGGGCAGCTGCCCCCTGTGTGGCTTCACCTCGGCTGCAGAGCTCTGAACCCTGGGGGACTCGGCTCCACCCAGCTGGCTTGTGGCACTAAAGGATGCCCCTCGCCCTCTGTCACACTCCCGGCCATGACGGCACACACACACTTACCTCCTCGTTCTGATAGGCAGTCACTGCTATGAACTGGGTCTCTGGGAAGGAGCAGTTGGTGACCATGCGGTGGGCGCCTCCCACGCGCACAATGTGGACCTGGGGCTCGTACTTGTGCAGGGAGCTCAGCATTATCTGTGGGGGGAGAAGGTCAGAGAGGCCACGCCGAGCCCCGCGTGTCCTGGGGACCCAGCCCTGTGTGTCCTGATGGCCTATAGGATCAGGACCCACCCAAGTCAGGGACACCCAGGCCAAGTCCCGGGTCCCCGGAGCTGCACCCCACCTGGGAGGTTTCTCAGAGGCTCCTGGGGAATGTGACACAAGCCCTTCTACAGGGGTCAGGGGAGGGGGCCCGGGAGGAGTGACCCCTGCGTGCCTGGCATTCTGTCCCCCTCCCTTCTTCCCCCCCTGTTTTCAGCACAATGTGGATTTCAGTCCATTAAAGCATGTTTTTCTTTTCATGTGATGAAACCCGATAACTCTGGACGATGATGCCCATCACATTCCACCTCATCTCTAACCCATGGCATCATTATCCAAAGTCCATGTATGAGGACAGGAACTGGTGTGAATGTACTTTGTGGACAACCAGAGACACGAAACCGTGTGCTCTATATGTACACCTATATGTACATATGAATCGTAACGCATTCCGCTGTCATAACTATCAATAAAAATATTAATAAAAAATGAAATCCAATATTTTAAAAAAGAAAGAAATCTAATAACTCAAAATGTTGACAGTGGCTGTTTTATAAGTGACTAACAGGCTAAGGACGTCTGGCATCTGGTGGTCACTATAACCCCTCCTTTATGATTCCAATGAAGGGTATTGAAAGACCCACTAAGAAATCTGGTGGGCAGCAACACTCCACTTTTCAGCGTCCTGATTTAATAAAGAACGGGAACCTTTGGATGTCACAAAGACTTGGGTGGCATTGCCGGCTTCTCCTCCAACAGGACTGTGCTGAGCACAGAGAACAGAGGCGGCAACAGCTCAGGGCACAGGCTGAACAAAGCAGGGGGTGGGGCAGCCTCCCCTCCTGCCCTCCCAGGCCCCAGCAGCCTCCCCTGCCTAGGAGGCACAATCCCACCACACAAGTCCAGGGAAACAAGCCTCCAACCCCTGTTTATTCTAATTGGAGCAACCTTAAATAAAGCCCTCCTTACTTAAGGTTTGTTATGATTACTTTTTTTTCTGAAAAACCTGAGCTGATTCAATATTCTATTGATAATTATCGTAATGCCCAAGCCGAGGAAGTAATTATTTCATTTAGGAGCAGCTTTTTATTAAGGTATTTGTCTATTGCCAACATGCCACTTACACCAAAAAAGGGGAGAGAGATGAACAAAACCCCGGTACCCACAAACATCTCCCCCCCAGGGCTGCGTGAAAGCAGGCACAAGACAAAACTCTGAAAGGAGGCCTGATGATTAAGTGAACCAGGCCCTCCCTCCTCCCTCTCCACAGCAGGAAGTCCATTAAAAACTGAAAGCACCAATTAAGAGCTGTTTATTCCTGTTTACGTTTGGACTCCAGGGAATAATTGGCTTCTGTGGGAGAAGAGGCTGGTGAAGACCCCTCTAATTGCCTAAATGCACCCTTGATAGTTCTCCACCGGCGCTGGGGGCGGCCGTACCTGCCCACCTCCGTTGAGCTTGTTGGTCAGCTTCACTTTGCTGAAGGAGATGGGAGCCTTCATCCAGTGGGCCCCGAAGTTGGGGGAGTCGGGGTGGATGTAGACGCAGCTGTGGCTGGAGACCTCTGGCTTGCCCGCGGGCACCCACTCCCCGTTGACGTATTTCCAGCGGTGGCTGTCCGTGGGGACAAAGTCCAGCAGGAGGGAGTACATGGCATTGGGGTCCAGTCCTGTGACGCTGATCTTTAGAACAGGAAACATCCGTCTAAAGACAAAAGGGAAAGGCGCTGAGCCACAGGGGGGACGTCGAGGGACCCCGGCCCTGCCCGGGTCTCAGTGCTGAGACGTCCCATAGAGTGGCCTGGAAGGGAGGCCCGTCACGGGGCCCTGCCCCCGGCTCCAGAGCCTCCTTCCACAGCCCTTTTGATATTGGGGTCTGACTTTCAAGTGCCGTGTCCACTCCAAAGGACTCGGAAGAACCCGGAGAGGAGGGACCTGGGGGGAAGGTGGGCCATCAAATGCCACGGCCACAGAGGGTTCTCTTACCAGGACCCCGCCCCCTGCGGAGGCCACACAGCCCTTCCCTCGAGGCCTCGTTTCTGAGTCGGGGTTGGTGGTGGCACTTAGAGCAACACCTGGTAGCAGGTACGTGAGAGGCTCCTGCGGCAGGTAGACGGGCTCCGCTCCCCCAGACTCCCCAGAGCCCCTAACAGGCTTTTCCCGTGAGTGTGGGCGAGCTGCGGGCTTGCACACACCCTGAGCCCCTGCGGCAGGGAGCCATCTTTGGGGCATTTTGTGGGGATCTGTGTTTGAGCAGCACAATCCCCATATGCAGGCCTAGATTCCCCGATCCTTCCCACTCCCTAGAATGGCACCAACAAGTTTCCTCTCACAGTCTTTGGAGAAACTACCCAGGTGGCTGGCTTCTGATTCCAGAGCATTTTCACCCCCCAGAGGACCTCCACGGTCACACCCATTCTACCCAGACTTCTTGTCACCAGGAAGAAAAGCAGGGGCAGAAGCTGCTGCCAGCCAGGCAGGAGGGAGGCAAGTCGGTGGATCCTTTGCTCTTGCAGCTGCCAAAGTCCCCACCTAAGGTAAGATCCTGGAGGGAAGCAGGCTGCCACCTCAGGGCCGGGTGTGACAGCACTTCCAAGCTTGTTAGGTGCAGGCGCTGGAGCGAGCACTGGAGAATTAACAAGTTCTTGCAATGAGTTCATGAGGCTGTCTTGGTGAGTTCAAGAAGAAGGAAAAACCTAGTTAAACAGGCACCTGTGCATGAACTGCCCTGCCAGGTGCATGAACTGAATGGAATTTAGGGGGATGCACCCGAGGATGCACCAGAGTCCACGCTAGAGAATCCGGCTTCGCCTCTCTCCCCACAGGACGGGGCGGCTGCACTTCCTGTCAACTAGCCTGGCCACCCCAGGCTGCCTGTGGCTTCAAATCCTCCCTGATGTATTCTCTTTTGTTCTTTCTTCAACAGAAAATTTTCCTTTTATTGCTTTCTCTTGGTATTAGACTCTTCCCTTGTGCTATATAAAGTTTTCAATGATCTTAATAGTATGGACCAAGGGTAGGCGACAGAAAGCGTGTGAAAGCACAAAGGCCATTTGCAAAAATCATAAAAGTGGGCATCAGAAATCATCGTGGGGACAGTGTAGGGTCATTGTGACAGCCAGGAGTCTGGCTGGTTTGCAGGAGGTACACAGAGAAATGGCCTGTCTTTGGAGTCCTGTGGTTTTTATAAAGTGCCAAAGTACTTTACTTTATTACAAAAAACACAAGAATGACATGGTTATCATTGGCATTTCACACACTGAGATGTAAAAATGCCAAAGGTTTTCTCCATAGAATGAACCACAGAGGTAGCTCTGAAAGAGAGGGTCCCGCCCTGAGGAGCCGGAGGGGGGGCCGGGAAGCTAGTTGCTCATGCTCCACAGTGCGCTGTGTTTCCACACGTCAAGCAGAGAGTTCCAGAAGGTCCAGCTTAGGACTTAGGGACAGTGTGACCAGGATGGCTTTTCTGATGCTAATGGTGATGTGCTGCACTTCCATGTGTTCTAATCCAAGCCTCAGTCCCACCCCAAGGGCACAGATACTTGTTAGTTGGCCAGTTTTCTAGCTGAGGCCCTCAGGGATGGGGGCACAGGGTGTTGGCTGTACCCCACGGTCTTCTCCTTATTGTGTTAACGGCACCTTATTTTCCACTCTTTTTTGAGACTTCTAGAAAGTTAATAATTTGGGCCACAGTAAAAGGAAGAGTCCCCTCAATGTTTTCCCAAATCTCAGTACCTAATGGAGATTTATCTTCTCATTTAATGACTGAGTTCCAAACACCTGCTCCAGGCCAGGACCTGTTCTAGTGGGGACTCAGTGACAATCACAGACCTAGTGTCCTGCTCACAAAGCTTACCTCCTAACAAAGAAGACAGCTCAAAACAGGATGGAATCGACCAAGTGACTTTACCTGCATGCACCAGTGTGTGGGGATGAGTGTGCCAGGACGAGTGTGCCAGGACGAGTGTGCCAGGACGAGTGTGCCAGGACGAGCCCACATACATGCACAGCTGTGATGCACCAGGGAAAAGGAGTCCACAGGAGGAAGACCACGGGCAGAGGGAGACCACAGGCAGAGGGAGACCACAGGCAGAGGGAGACCACGGGCAGAGGGAGACCACAGGCAGAGGGAGACCACGGGCAGAGGGGAGGGAGGAGGCAGCCCCAGGACTGGAATGGAGCAAACCATGTCAGACGCATTTATGAGCGAGTCGAAACAGACCCACGAGTTTGGGGAACCCTAATGCACTAACAAAAATCACTTCAAAAACAGATGCAGAAGAGCCTGTCCATCCTTGGGTGTCTTCGAGCCCTTAGGTAAACTTGACCTTCACCACATAACACACAGGACGCCCAGGGAGGCACAGTCAGTGTGTCCCAGTGGGTCCTCATCTTTATTGCGAGGGGTGTCCCGTGAGGTGGAGGGTCCTCATCTTTATTGCGAGGGGTGTCCCGCGAGGTGGACCCTCGTTGCTCACCCTTTCACCCAGCGGAGGACACTGGATGGATTTAGTTTGGGATAATCATGGATAAAGCCTCCATAGCATTTACATGTTAAAAAAACGTGAGTGAGTTCTCGTTGCTTCTAGTGTTTCAGTTTAGATTACAAGAGTACGAGGACCCTCTAGCCAGGAACCACAATGAGTGGGGTCACATGGGGGGGGGCTAAGGGACGAGGGCACGTTAGCGGCTGTGGAAGGGCCTTAGGTAGGCTCAGAATCCACGCTGGAGCCAAGACCTACACAGGGAGCAGGATGGGTCACGCAGGACCCCACGGAGGTGCCCCGGGCCACAGGAGCAGCCGGCACACAGCCCCTGGGCCCTGACTGGCCGGCTGGGAGGATGAAAGAGGAAGCCCGTGTGGCTGAGCACAGGAAGGGGTCTGCAGATCCCAGCCCCCCCCAGGGTGGGAGGCCCTCCTGTCCCTCAGCTCCATGCAGCCAGAGACTGGCGGGACCCTCCAGTGCTTGGCGAGAGAGGCTCCCGGGCCCTCCCTCCATTCTGCGCCACGTCTCTGGAGCTCCACGAAGATGCTGCACGTCACCAGCCACCAGAAACACAAGCCACAACTGCAGAGGCAGCGCCTGGGGCCGGCTGAGAGAGAACCAGGACCAACAACTGGTGAGGCTGCCAAGAAACCGGACCAACCCGCGGGCCTCGCTGCTGGGCGCGTGAGGTGGCGCAGTCACCCTGGGAACAGTGGGCAGCTCCTTGCCCGATGACATGGAGTGGCTATCCCACCTGCATCCACGCCTACATGTGCCCAGGAAAAATGAAAAGGCCTTCACAAAAATGGATGCAGATGTGTTCATAGCAGCAGCATCACAACTGAGAAAGGCAGAAACCCAAGCCCTGCAGCCCCGCAGCTGTGCCCAGGGCAGGAGGTGTCCTGCCCACACCATGAAGTGCTACCCAGGCAGGAATGAAGTGCTGCCAGGCACTGCCACCCGGTGAGCCTGGAAACCAGCACCCATGAAGCATCACAGACTGGGGGGCACTGACCCTGTGTGTCCAGGGCAGGAAGGCCACAGAGTCCGAAGGTGGACCTGTGGTCCCTGGGGTGGGGGAGCGTGGTGGGGTGCAGGTTCCTTTGGGGGCAATGAGCATGTGTTAAAGTGAATTGTGGAGATGGACGCACAACTCTGTGGATCCACCAAACAGCACTGGCCTGTACACTCCAAGTGGACAATTCGTGTTCTGGGAATTATACCACAACTAACTATTAACAAACACGAAGCGAGAGTCCCTCCTCTTGGTAGGAGAACACCTGAAAGAGGGTCCAATGGCCAGTCGCTCTTCAGTACTCGTTTGCCAAGTACTTTATAATTCTTCTTGTTTCCTTGTCCCCCGCTGGATGCTAGGACCTGGTGTGGACCTTTAATCTCCATTTGTAAGGAGGAGTGAGCAGATCTGAGACCGCCTCTGAGCCAGGGTCATCTCCATTTCACTCCCCCTCCCTCTGGGCTCACCATCACCTTGGCGCATCCTCTAGGGACACTAGCTACCTGTGGTCACCTCTCAGGCCAGGCTTTGTCTTCAGGGTCAAACTGTACTTCTAAGCAAGCTGGTTTTTTCCATTTTATTTCCCAAACAGAGAGAATTCCCAGTCTTTGAGAGGTTTAGAAATGTAAATCAGCCAGCAGGCAGGGAGGGAGGGAGAAGGGGGTGTGGCAGGTGAACACCAGCTGGGGATGACGAGGGGGGGGGGGGTGGTGTCCCTGCCGCACCCTTGGCTCCTTTGGCTCCTGCTGCCAGGAGGCTTTCCAGCTTTCCCATCTCTTGGGGGCAAACGGAGGTCTGCAGGAAGAAGGTGGGCAGAGATGAGGACTTGTGCTGGAGGGCGGAGTGGGTGGTGCTGGAGGGAGGAGTGGGTGGTGGTGGAGGGAGGAGTGGGTGGTGGTGGAGGGAGGAGTGGGTGGTGCTGGAGGGAGGACTGGGTGGTGCTGGAGGGAGGACTGGGTGGTGCTGGAGGGAAGAGTGGGTGGTGGTGGAGGGAGGAGTGGGTGGTGCTGGAGGGGAGGAGTGGGTGGTGGTGGAGGGAGGAGTGGGTGGTGCTGGAGGGAGGACTGGGTGGTGCTGGAGGGAGGACTGGGTGGTGGTGGAGGGAAGAGTGGATGGTGGTGGAGGGAGGAGTGGGTGGTGGTGGAGGGAGGAGTGGGTGGTGGTGGAGGGAGGAGTGGGTGGTGCTGGAGGGAGGACTGGGTGGTGCTGGAGGGAGGACTGGGTGGTGGTGGAGGGAGGAGGAGTGGGTGGTGGTGGAGGGAGGAGTGGGTGGTGCTGGAGGGAGGAGTGGGTGGTGCTGGAGGGGGGGTGGGGAGGTGGCCAAAAGCAAAGTCCAGGAGATTCCACTCACGACACCTTCCTCCACCTCCCCTGGGATGAAAACTGTCACCAATGCCCATGAGAATGTTGTGGCTGGCGCTCCTGGCACACAGATGCTGACACTTCCATGAAAGAGAGCCGCAGGTGTTCTCCAAAGACAAACCAAAGAGGAGAAGAGAGTGACCTGGGGATGCGGGGCAGACCACACAGGTGCCTGGGACCCTCGAGTTGTGGTGGTAAGGTTCAGAGGTGGATAAAATTAATTTATATATATACACCTATCTATGTCCACGGGCCGTGCAGACAGGGGTCTGGGTCGGCAGGACTCGCGAGCTGCTTTTCCCCCTCTCGCACCACCCTCGCGGGGAGCCACAAACATGGGCTGGGTGTCACTGCACCCACACCCTGTAATACTCAGCAGATTCAAACTCAGTGACTCTGACACTTACCTGTGACAGAAAATGGACACACTGGTGCCTTCATTTCCAATTCCTTAAAACCTGCTCAAGCCAAATTTGTTCAGTCTAAATTATTAAATGCATGAAAACATCCCTAAAATACAGACTCTCCTCTCAGATGAAGATGTTAACAGTGAAGAAAACAAGTGCAAGTGACCCGATCCATTTGCCCGTTAGCAGAAATAAGTCTTTTCTGAAACCTAACATGTAAGTTTGGAGCTGGAGACTGGAGGAGGAAAGCAGGCCGGATGCAGGGTAGGTAACCCGGTGAACCTGAGCCCCAAGGAGGGTCTCTGTTGTATCAGAAAGGTGGTTGAAGTGGATAATAGAAGGTTTAAGAAAGAGGAGAAAAGAGAAGGAGGAGAGGGAAAGGAAGAAGTAGGAAAGCAGACGGAGGAGAGGAGGGAGGGAAGAGGGCTGGGGGTAGGGAGGTGGGGTGCCATCAGGACCCAGCTTCTGGGGGTAATAGGGAGCTTCCCAGGGAAAACCCTGTCTTCACCACGTCCCCTCCATGTCAGAGACAGGCTCCTCTTGGTGACCATGAAGCAGGTCTGCACTGGGTGGGGTCTCTGCTCTCCCGCGGGCCCAGATCGGCCGTTCCCACTGTTCCCCGACTGAGTACCCCCCGGCTGAAGCTCTTGGAAAACCCACAGAGTCCGCAGTCCCAGTGTAGGCGGGCTCCCGAGGTCCTGCAGGGGGGGATCTGCAGGAGAAGCAGCGGGGCCTCTGCCAGAGAAGAACAGGTGACATGGGAGAAATGACCAGGAGGAAGAAGGAAAAGGGAGCAAGAAGATGAGACCCAGCAGACGTGTCCACGGGGAGGGACAAGTGCTTCTAGAGGAAATGGCTCAGAGAACAGAGAGACTGAACAGAGGGCTCCCAGATCTGTCTCCCCTCCTTACCTAAAGTATGAAGAGAACTTTCTATCCCCTGGGAAAATCTTGACCCTCAGGGGTCCAGAGACCCTAAGAGAATTTCAGAAAAGCATTTCATTTGCTGGAGGGAAGAGACAGCCCGACCCCTGGACCTCAATGGGCTTCTCCTACCGACAGCACCTTTCGCCGGGTTGGCACGAAATGACTTCACGGATGAGAGTTGCAAACTATAGATATGGAAAAATCTTATTTAGGTGAAAAATGTGAGAAACCCTCTTCTTAAATGGTAGAAGTACATTCTGATATGATATAACTTCATTGCATTTTTACAATGCTTCAGAAATATATTACTTATTCATTATTGAAATAGATGAACTATACTCTCATCAGTGATTATACCTACTTTTATTGTAATGTAGGGCCATTTGAACAGCCAAACAGTGCAGTTAGGTTTCTGTGTGACCCAACAAACAGGAAGATCTGTAAACCAAGTTCTCCCTGTGGTCAGACACAGTCAGGATCTTACAATTACATCATCGCTCATCTTTGGAAGAAAGAAACTGGTGACTATGAAGCAGGTCTGCACTGGGTGGGGTCTCGGCTCTCCCAATTAAAAAATTGGAGTGATTCCTTGATGTTAAAAAAATGTGTTTTATATTTTTTTTCTACCAAAGAGACCAAAAATAACATATAAACACAGATCAAGAGACAGAATAGGGTACTTACAATTACAAATATTAAAATCAATTTTAATTAATTTATGTATTTATTAATCTTCCATATGTCTTAAGTACATGACCCATTTAGAAAGAAAAAAATGTCACACAGAGCAAGGCTAAAGGTATAAGCACACTTCATTGGAACGCCCTCGATTCTGCTATAACTTTCTTCATGAAGCACATTAACTTTGTGCAACAGCTTTCAAGCTCATAATTCTGGACAAGGAATTGTCAATTTTCTATGCTGTGTTTTATTAAGAAACCAGAAGCCAAGACTTCAGGAATGGAAGCATTTTGCACAAGGACAGCCCTGTCCGGAGGAACCCTGCTCAAGAGGCTTCCAGTGCCTCGCGGACCTGATGCGTGAGCATCACTGACTGCTGGGAGCCAGGGAAGGCCATGTGATTTATTTCAAAAGATTTGCTTCTCCTCTCCTACGTGAAAGCTGCTTCTATTACCTTGACAGCTTTGGAACAGACTAGATTTAATAGAATCCAAGAAATGCCAGCAGAGATCCGTTTCCATTAATTCCTAATTGATTACAGTGAGAAAAACGGAGGTGACTTTTCCCTGTGGCAGTGTCCTATGGCTTCACCTCTCTGCCTGCCACGACTGTCACATATCACAGACACCATCACAAGTGGACACTCCACGGATCACATGCGGGGGAAGCAGACGGAGGGGCAGGCAAGGAGATTACATCTACCCTTTGGCTGCCACTCTTCAACTTTTCAAAAATTTGCTGTACTTCAGAGGAGACCATTCAGCCTCCACATAAAATGGACTTTGGATTCTCTGAACAGAGGTGGAGCCCAGGTCTGCTCCAGAGACACAGTCAAAACTCAGCGCTGTTTTCTGATACTGGAGCGCTCAGCCCCCTCCCACGGGGCACGCCCCCCTCTGCAGAAATCCCCTGGAACTTCTCCACTTAAACATGTAAGACCGGGGCTTCATCTTTCACTTCTCCGATGATCTGAGAACTAATTAAGTTGGCTGGGGACAGCTGAGTGTGTCTGATCAGACCGGTGCCTCTGAATCGAGAGTGGTCGCCTCTGTGATATACAAGGCTCTCGCTCCCTTGCTAGCTGGGTGCCCCCAGGCAGGGCAGAGGGTACACTCACCTGCCATTTTTGGTCACGATCATTTCATTAGTGACCTCCTTGAACCTCTGCCAGAGGGGAGCGTCCTCCAGGATGATGCGAAGTTGCTTCTCGGTGGGGTCTCCTTTCTCCCTGCCCGCCTGGAGCTCACTCTCCACCACATGGAGCAGGCGGGAGACGGTGCCGTCGCTGGTCCTCGGCGTGCCCAGCTCACTCATGGCACCGGCCCTCTCAAACTTTGCGGAGAGCTGTCAGCACCTTGCCCACTTCTGACCCCTTCCTTCCTCCTTCCCGCTTTTCAACCCAGCTGGCCAGCGCCCGGGCAGTGGGAGGGCGGCGCCCAGGCTCCTGCCTCAGCTCCTAGTGTGACACCCCGTAAAGTCCCCAAATTATACCACCAACCTGTTAAGCCTCATTGGGGAGCAGGGAGGAGGGAGGGGGAGAGGTGGGGAAGAAAAAGCCCTCTCTTAATTACTCACTGGGTCAGGTGGAGGGAGCCGGCTCTCCCATTGGCCGCCCTGCCTGGAGTAGCCGTTTAAGAAGAGTACTCCATCCAAATTATCAGGCTTTTATCTTGTTGTACCTGAAGAGGTCTAATCGGTGTATTGAGGACCATTTTCCCGTTAATTAAAATTATTCCGGGCCCAGACTGCAACAATCAGGCAAATCCTGTTTGTATGTAAACCATGGCATGTGGCACCTACGGGAAGAGGTTCTCGGGGGAATCAGCCAACTTGGTGCCACCAGGCTGTCCCGCTACAGCAGCACCAGGGCCCCCAGCTCGGCTCCTGCGCCCTCGCTGACACCGAGCCCCCAGAGAAGAACCGTGTCTGTGGAGGTGGAAGACCGTGCCGAGAGGCCCCACCATCCCGGGGGCAAGGGGAGACCTGCGTGCCCCGAGCCCGGGCAGAGGCACGAGTGAGGCCTCCTCCTGCAGGATGTCCCCGCTGGCCACCTCTCTCCCGAGGGTCCTGCACACCACCCTTCTCATCTCCAGGGCCCCATCTGCCTCCAACAAGCAGAAGAGCTTTGAACCATGTCCTCGCTCCCTAGAAGCCAGAGCCTTGATTTTTCTTGTTTCCCCCACAGCCAGAGAGATTCAAATATGTATGTATCATATCATTCTCCCTGCAAAGCACTCGGCTCCAGTAAGAGAGACCTTTCACATTATGCACAGTGATTTTACTCATTGGTCCAAAAAGGTGTTCTGCTCTTCCCTTCACACAGCCCGCGGCCTAGTGTGGCCTTCCAGGAGGGAGGAGGGAGGTATCCCCCATTCCCCGAAGACACAAGTGTGTTTTTACCCACAGTACTAAGGCACTCACAGTCCTAGTGGACACACGGTACTAAGGCACTCACAGTACTAGTGGACACACGGTACTAAGGCACTCACAGTACTAGTGGACAACTGTACTAATGCTCTCACAGTACTAGTGGATACACAGCAGTAATGCACTCACAGTACTAGTGGACACACAGTACTAAAGCACTCAGAGTACTAGTGGACACACAGTACTAAAGCACTCACAGTACTAGTGGACACACAGTACTAAAGCACTCAGAGTACTAGTGGACACACAGTACTAGTGGACACACAGTACTAAGGCACACACAGTACTAATGCTCTCACAGTCCTAGTGGACACACAGTACTAATTCACTACAGTACTAGTAGACACACAGTACTAATGCACTCACAGTACTAGTGGACACACAGTACTATTGGACACACAGTACTAAGGCACTCACAGTACTAATGCACACACAGTACTAAGGCACACACAGTCCTAGTGGACACACAGTACTAAGGCACACACAGTTCTAGTGGACACACAGTACTAAGGGACACACAGTACTAATGTACTCACAGTACTAGTGGACACAGTACTAATGCACTCACAGTCCTAGTGGACACACAGTACTAAGGCCCTCACAGTACTAGTGGACACTCAGTACTAATGCACTCACAGTACTAGTGGACACTCAGTACTAATGCACTCACAGTCCTAGTGGACACACAGTACTAAGGCCCTCACAGTCCTAGTGGACACTCAGTACTAATGCACTCACAGTACTAGTGGACACTCAGTACTAAGGGACAAGGAGTAGGAGCTGGGAGCTCATCAAGGAAAAATGAGGAGGACTGCCAAGACAGGACCCACATGTGATAGGCCTAGCTTGTGCCAGGAAGGACCAGCAGGAGCCCAGCGAGTCTCGAGAGAGGGGCAAGGACGTGCTCGGCCAGGCAAGGCTGACCAGGCACCACAGAGGGGCGGGGTTTCCTCCCGTGAGAGCAAACGGTGGAGCGTGTGCAGCAGGAAAGCCGCTTGGTCTTCTTGTGTCTTAACCTGGCTGCGTGTAGAGCATCAACCCGACAAAGGTGGGAGCTGAGGTGGGGGAACCAGCACCAGACTCAGCCCTGCCCGGCACTGCCCATCCCCTGGGCTGGCACCGTGTCCCCGCAACGAGGAGACCGCCGTGGTTTACCCAGGACAGGCAGGAGGAGGTGAGCGCGTGGAGAGAGATGGGCAGCTCCCCAGGCAGACAAAGTCCAGGGTCTGTCTCCACGGAGCCGAGGATGGTGTAGACAGTGACCCTGGGTGAGTGGGACTCTCGTAGCCAGTTCTCAGCCTGATTTTCCCACGCACACGTGCAAAGCTGGAGAAGCGCTATTCACACACACCTCGAGCAGCGCGCGAGCCGCCTCCCGGGCCGGGCACATAAGCTCTTGTAGAGAGCAGAGCCCTTCCACACCTCGGCGTCTCCAGGCCAAGGCAGTTCCCCAGTTTTGTACAGTGGAGCTAGGATCAGGCTCAGCTCCCGGGACATCTCAGAGGGTCATATCAATGCCAATACCAACTGGGCCCAAGTCCAGCCACGGGTCCAGCCTGTAACAACCGAGTAGCTCACCTGCAGAGCAGCCAGCCAGGTTGAAGTAGGAACCTGGAAGGCTGGAAGAGGAGTGTCTCTTTTAAGTGTCTGGGCTACCTGATGTGTTTGACTTTATCACGAGGCTTATGTAGCTTTCATGGACAACTAGCAGTGCAGTTAGTGACTGACACGCGCTAGTTTTCTATTACTACCTAACAAATTGCTGCGAATGTAGCAGCTTAAAACAGCGTATCTGTATTATGTCAGTTGACAGGGTTGGAAATCCAGGCACAGTGCAGCTGGGTGTCCTACTGTGGACTTCACAAGGCTGTACGTAGTCAACACAGTACTAAGGCACACACAGTACTAATGCACTCACAGCACTAGTGGACACACAGTACTAATGCACACACAGTACTAGTGGACACACAGTACTAAATGTCATCTGAGGCTTGGGTCCTTTTCCGGGCTGCTCGGCACTTTTTGGTTGTGGGACTGCAACCCTGTGTTCCTAGAGCTGCCCATCTCCACCAACAGAGCAGAAATGGCTGTGGGCTTTCTTCCTCCAAGCTAGGACAACTGCTGCCTCTTGTCCTGCTGAAGAGTTCTCCAGATTAGGTCAGACCCACCAAAGCTAGTCCTTTTTCCTTAACTCAAAGTGAACTGATTTGGAATCTTGATCATGTCTACAAAAGCCCTTTTACCACATAATGGATATAACAAAATCATTGCAGTGACATCCATCCTATTTGGGGTTCCTGCCATCGATCAAGGGGAAGGGACTATGTAGGCACAATCATCACAGGACTCAGAAATCTTAGGCACCATATTAAAACTCTGAAAGGAACCAACAGAAAAAACTGAAGCCTTTATGAACTACTAGGAAAATATATATATATATATCTATATATATCTGCAAGAAAAAAATGCGATCAAAGAAACAGTTTTAAGAGTATAAATACTGTATATTTCTTTAATAAAAATTATGAAATTGGGGTGATACAGGCAGGGGAACCCAGTATTACAGAGAAGAAGAGTGGAAAATCATCATCTTCCTCACTAGGAAGACAGTGATATAAAGAATCAGCAGATAGCAGTACAAATACAGTGTTTAGAAGTCTAGAGACAAGCTGGGCGTGCTGGCACATGCCTATGCTGCAGCTCCCGGAGGCTGAGGCAGGGGATCACAAGTTCAAAGCCAGCCTGGGCCACTTCGGGAGACCCTGTCTCAAAATGGAATAAGGAAGTGCTGGGGAGGGATACTGGCCAATTCCTACTGTTGGATTGTGTGCGGGACAAATATGCAACAGCAGACCCGACCACGATAGTGCCACCAACTACAAGGCACCCGTAAAAATGTGGAACAAACTGGGCCACAGTATTGGGCACTATTGACCCCATTTTCACAAATTAAAAAAGTAAGAAGAAATCCTGGGATGCAGCTCAGGGGTGGAGTGCTTGCCCAGCATGCAGGAGGCCCTGGGTTGAGTCTCCAGTATGAAGTAAGAGAGGGAGGGAGCGAGAGAGCGAGGAGAAAGGAGCAGTCTGTAGATGACCGGCAGGAGTCCCAGTAGGAAGAGAGGACGTGAGGGCCTCTGGGGGGGGGGGGGGGGCAGGTGAGTGCTATTTTTCCTTCCTGTAATTTTTTTCCAGCATGTGAATCATGTGAATAAATGAAAGACTGACAAGATTTATCATTTTATTTATTAGTATTTATTTATTATTTATTATTATCATGTTTTATATATTATATTTATTATTTATTATTTTATTTATTATTTTAGATATATTATTTTGCAATTTAACTTTTTTAAATTTAACTCAATGTATAAAGAATATTTTCTCATGTCATTGAATAATTTTTTCCACTATTATTTTGACCCTTGCAAATTATTTCATCTTATAAATAGGTCATGTTCCAATCTTCTTTTATATTCATTGCTTCTTCATTTTTATAATTTTAAACACTCAGATAAAAATTCTGGACAATAAACATTTAGGAACATTTATAATTATTTCTTCACACCTAATTTTTTAAAGTCGTGCTCATGGTCAAGAATAAGAAGTGCTGGGCTGGGCTGTGGCTCAGTGGTAGAGCCCTTGCCCAGCACGTGTGAGGCAGTGGGTTCGATTCTCAGCACCACATATAAGTAAATAAAGTCCCATCAACAAGTAAAAAAAAAAAATTTAAGAATAAAAAGCGCTAAGCACATTTACGTCTCCTTTAGCCCTTCCTTATAACCATCCCAGGGGGTGGGAGCTCAGGGTGGTGAAGTGGCTTCCCCAGGATCCAGCCCGGAGCAGCGAGGCCGTATCTGAGCCCAAGGAGCTGCCTCTTCTCTGACCCAGGACCCTCCGCTGCTCACTCACCGCGACCTGGACAGCTCCCTGGTGGGCGAAACCCGGCACAGCCATGCTTCCTCAAGATTGTGGGACGGCTGCACTTTGAATAAAGTGTCAAGTCAAATAAAACAACAGCCCACAACCCACACCCAAGAGAAATCAATGCAACTGGATGAAAATACACACACACACCTCCTCATGCACACGATCGTGAG